TGTTGTCAGAAAAGATCAACATTTATTTTTAGGAGGACATGGTATCAATGTCCCCTAAGAAAGCATCTGTTGAGCTTAGAATCTCTCTCCCATTATCACACTGTTTCTTGTGTGTGTGTTTGTGTGTTTGTTTTTAAGTTACCAAGAATGTAGTAGCAGAGCAACTCTGGAGATACTGGAGTCCTCAGATTTTCTTGTATGTGTCACTATTGTTTAGGCTTGTGTGTAGTATCAAGGCTGGCCTATTAGCATTGGTCAATCTCCCCTTGGCAGACATATCAGCTTTGGCTTCAATTGTTGACTCTTGTTACTATTGTTACTCATCTGTGGATCTGGCAAGCTCAAGAGTTGCTCTTGAGTGACTTCGTTCTTTTCTTTTTGTGGGGACCAAGAGCTGACGTTCATTAGCCCTAATAGTTCTCTTGGCGAGGGTCATACACAAGTCTTGTCACCAGTATCAGTTGAGTATGTATCTGAAGCCATTAAGAAGAATAGTAAAGTCCAGGATGAGCACCCATGTGGCCCTACAATATGCCAACATATGGCTGACCTTGAACAATGTTTCCTCAGCTCTCACCCCCTAGCACTCTTACTCTACTTACACTACATTGATGACATGTTCATCATATGGACCCACAGGGTGGAGATCCTTGAAGAATTCCACAGGGATTTCAACAATTTCCACCCCACCATGACCCTTAGCCCGGACCAGTCCACAGGAAAGATCCACTTCCTTAACACTACAGTACAATTAAACAATGGTCACATTTCCACCACCTTATACCGGATGTCTACCGACCAGTACAGTTACCTATTTGCAGGGCTCGCCAACCCACAGTGAGCCCCACTCACCAGCTGTGCAGTTTGGCACGCTGCCCATGCACAGACCGCGCTGAGCGGCTGTACCGGCTTGTAATCTACTCACCACGGGCAAGTAGATTACATTAATTGTCGAGCCCTGCCTATATGTCTCTAGCTTCCATTCAAGACACATTTCCCAATCAATTGTTTACAGCCAGGCCCTAAGATACAACCAAATTTGTTCCAATCCCACAGACAGAGACAAACACTTACAGGATTTATATAAAGCATTCTTAAAACTGAAATACCCACCTGGAGGAGTGAAAAAACAGATTGAAAGGGCCAGACAAGTACCCAGACATCAGCTACATCAAGATAGGCCTTACAGAGAAAACAGGACACCACTTGTCATCACCTAGGGCCCCCAACTTAAACCTGTCCAATGCATTATCAATAATCTACAACCTGTCCTGGAAAATGACCCTTACTCTCACAGGCCTTGGGGGACAGACCCATCCTCGCCTACAG